GTTTTAACAATCATAGAAGAGGTGGCTTTAAAATTAAGACAGCTTGTTCCTTTAAATGTCTTTAAAATGTGGATTTTGACTTTTTTTTAAAATAAAATGACAAACATTGCATTTAAAATGTAATTCATTTGGACCCCCACATTTACCACAAAATATTACTTTTATTCTATTACTGAACAAACAAATCCATTCCACTTGATGCGTTGAATCCTCACCAAGTGTTTACTTATACAGGTAAAAAGTCTGTTTAACCTGTTAAAGACACCAGAATGCAGGAAATGACATCGACTTCATTCAGAATCCACATCTTAAGCTGAACATGTGATTCCACAGAACCCTTTTCGCTCACAGTAAGAAGGTGCCACAAGTAAAGAAAGGACTTCAGAAGTCCTACGTTATCAAAGAGAAGTGCTTTGAGTTTGGACCTTTGCTTTGCTGCAAGACCAGAGACAGGTGAGAGGTTAACCGTCAGGTGGTAATGAAAGGGTTAAACGTTTGTGTCGTTTCATTCAGAGTTCCCTCTGTGCTCAGATTCAAGATGAACCCGTTTCCTGAGAACTCTGAAAAGCTGGTGATTCAGAACCAATCAGTTCTGGAGGCAGAGGTAAAATTCAGTTTCCTCCAGGACACCCAGGCCGCCACGTATCTGCTGGACCCCCCAGCGATGACCCTCGCACCGTCCCAGAAACAGGTACCAGCTCGAATAAACGGCAGCAGCTCAGTCTGACAGATGTTCTGAAGACGTTCCTCCCCTGCAGGAGCTGACAGTCTGGGCCTACCCCACAAAGCCGGAACAAATCAAGGACAGTCTGGTTTGTAACATCAAGGACAACCCTGAGCCCATCTCCATCCACTTCTCCTGCTGGGGGGTGTGGCCAGAGCTGGAGCTGGAGAGGAAGCAGCTGTACTTAGGCAGGATTCCACTCAACAGGTCCTGTTTGGTCCGGGGTTCTTCAAGGGTTTTGAAGTGTTGACAGTTTTCTCTTCAGAAGATCTTTGGCTCAAAGTGAAACGTAAAGAAGAGTAGTGAGGTTTAAAACGTACATACTGAACGTAAAACATTAACTCCTATCAGATTTACTCATGGAGGTTCTATAGAACAGCTGGAGCTCAGAAACCAGGTGACCGTGTGATCGGCTGCTGAAGCTAACGGCTAACGCTAAACGGGCAAGAGTCTGGATTTCCCATTACTTTACATGTTGACAACAGAGCAAAAAAAAGGACTGACGATGTAGAAATCATTAAAACTGTTAATAATATTAACCCAACTATTATTAATATTTTACAGTTTATATAATCTATCCAAGCTGTTTGTGTTATGGATTTATTAACAGAAGATAAACAGGAAAACGTCTCATTTTACAACAAGTCAGCAGATTTGATCTTATTTAGCTCAATGTGATCTGAGCAGAACATAATGTAACAGTTTAAAATTAAAATAATCTTATAAAGTCCAAGTAATCACTGATATTTATTGAACTGGTTTGCAGATATTAGCTTGTGGAGCATATATACAGAGTTTAGCTCTGTTGAATCATGTTACAATTTAACACAAACTATTAAATATTACTTTGTCCTTTGATTAATATTTAGACCTACAGAGTGTAAAATAATATTATAAATGTCTGATTAATATTTAGACCTACAGAGTGTAAAATAATATTATAAATGTCTGATTAATATTTAGACCTACAGAGTGTAAAATAATATTATAAATGTGAGTATTTTTAGGTTTCTGTTAGAGGAACCTGACCTGTTAAGAAGATGTTAGCTAATAGAGACAAGTTTCATCCTATAACCAGAGAACATTTTCTAACTGTTGACTGGTAAATATAAATATCCTTATTTTTTATGACAGAAAGAATAAATAATAAATATACTTTATTACTAGCTGAAGTCATCATTTTTCAACTAGCTAAAGTCTAAGTTACAGGCTGACTTCAGGTCTGGTTTAGATCATTGTTACTTATAAATTATAAATTTTTCTGGTATAAATCTGCTGTTTTACATGATTGTTGAATGAGATTAACATAATTATTAATTTATTGTAAAAACATGACAGATAATCTGTGAAACAGATCCGTTTCAGCTGCTGTTTATCTATTAGTTTCTATGTTTGCTGTGAGCTGTTGTCCTGTTTGGTGTTTCTGCTCCTCCATGATGTCACAGACACTACCAGTGTGGGCGGAGCTCAGTCTAGTGATATTTAAGTCTTTGGCTTTACTGCAAAGATCTCAAACGAGCTGTGGTTCTTTTAAAACTCTTTGATTTTCCTCCACAGAGAGCAGAGTTGCAGCGTGATGATGTACAATAAGACGGCTCTGCCTGTATCCTGGAGGCTGCAGAGGATGGAGGATTTAGGAGACGAGTTTGTGGTGCCAGTGGACCGGGGCGTCATTGCCTCCAACTCGTCTTCCCCTTTCACCGTGCACGTCATCCCTCGAAGGCTCGGCGTCATCAAAAAGACCCTGTTTCTGGAGGTGAAGTGACGTACTCGTGACACGTTCACGCAGAACCGAACGGCCTGATGTCTGAATGTTACTGTCGGCAGGTCTCACACACTCACAGCAGGTTTGTGTTCCAGGTTTCTGATGAGAAGAACGTCCTGGGAATCCTACAGACTGAAAAGATTTGCTTCTCTGCTATAAAAGAAAATCACACGAGTTAAAGGATTTAGAAGAGTTCAGATGAAGTCTGAGTTCAAATATAAGAACAAATGGACGCATACATTAAAATACGCCAAACGAAGACTTATTCTAAAATATATAACGTAGTTGATATGATCGACTCAAATAGTTTTCATTCAAACAAAGACTGAATATTATAATATAGAGCAATTTAATAAATTAACAAAAGTGGGTCTACATTATTCACTTTGATAGTAGAAGTACAAATTTTAAAACAGTTAGCCTCTTGAGCCCCACGCCCCCGGTACCGGGGGCAAAACTACATGGTCTGTCCTGTGCAGAATGACAAAACAGAAAATAATTTCTTTACTAAAACCTCTGTAACTTTGCTCCAGTTAATTTTAGCAGCATGAATCTTTGCACAGGTGATGTCCACAAGTGGATTTATGGTTTCCAAGAGATTTAAGCCTGATTCATTATGGTTTAAATAGGTTATATACTGTCTAATGCAAAAATTATTCAGGTGAGAGTGAAAAAAAAATTAAATATTATGTTTCATCCTCAATATCTCTAAAACAACAGCAGCTGTTTTAATACTCACACTTCTAATAAAATCTCCTGAGTGTTGCTTTATTTTGATACCAAGATTATTTAAGTAGAGTTTGTAAATGCTGAGATACTCAGTTACATTTCAGCATGGGATTTTGAGAAAAAAAACTTCAAGAAAAACCCTTGGGACTGAAGAGGTTAAACAGAAAATTAGGTATAACAGCACTTTGAGACGTGGTTGAATGATGAATGTACAAATGATGTTCACATTGAGGGGTATAATCTGTTTAATATGAACAGAAGTAATTAAAGAGGAGGTGGAGTTGGTTGTACTGATCTGTCGTGAAACGAGACGATGTACCGGTCGGTCTACGTTCCTACCCTCATCTATGGTCACGAGCTTTGGGACTGAAAGAAGGAGATCACAGATACAAGCAGCAGTTTCCTCTGCAGGGTGTCTGAACTCTCCCTTTGAGAGAGGGTGAGAAGTTCAGTCATCCAGGAGGGACTCAGAGTAGAGCCGCTGCTCCTCCACGTCGAGAGGAACCAGTTGAGGTGGCTCATCTGGTTAGGATGCCTCCTGGACTCCTCCCTGGTGAGGTGTTCCACGTCCCACTGGGAGGAGACCCAGAGGAAGACCAGGACACGCTGGAGGGACTATGTTTCTCAGCTGGTCTGGGAACAGCTTGGGATTCCCCCAGAGGAGCTGATCCAAGTGGCTGGAGAGAGGGAAGTCTGGGTCTGCTGCCCCCGCGACCTGACCCCGGATAAGAGGAAGAAAACAGACGGATGTGAGTTTAATTAATAGTGTTTTATTTCCAAGTCAAGCTTTTATTTTACTGAAGGAGTTTTATTCACTTAGTTGCTGTTTCTTTTTTTTTCACCATGAGGTTTAAAATGGAGCAGATTGATCCAGAAGTTGTCTCCGTGGAGCGGTTCTGTGCTGCTGGCCACCTACAGACCTGATATAAAGGTTTAAATCAAAGAGCAGCCCATTTCGTCCTGTCGGTGTGCGTCCACTCTGCTGAAAGACACTCCTGAAGGTAAAACTGTCATTTTATGAGAAAATATTCAGGTAGTTTTACTTCACTCTTCTGGTTTCACATAAATACCTTTTAAAAACCGAGCTGATATATTCTGGTCCAGTTTTACGCCTGCCCCCCAACATCCAGAGTGAGCCCCTGGGTCCTAATTTAAAATCACAAGGGGGTAGTGGTTCAGTTATTCCCCTACAAAATAGGACAGCCCTACTAGATGCTAACAGCTGTTTCATCTTGTTTTTATATAAGCAGTTTTATGAAGTTCTAATCACCGCTGTCAGACCGTTTCTGTTTCACTGAAGCTTACAGGAGCTGTAAGCTGAGTTCAGAAACATCTCTACAGGTTTGTTGGTTTATCTCATCTCAATCCCAGATTATTTGTTGTCTTTTACAATCTTCTGACAACCTTAACTTGGTAGGAAAATATTTTCTGCAGGGATGATTTTTTACATTCAACACATTTTTCATTAGTTGTTTTATTTTTCCTTGTTGTGCAGGGCGCCCACCTGTCCCTTTTTCACATTTTTGTTGGTATTTCAGCTTCTTTATGCTTAGTTCAGTAAGCTTGTGCTCATTATGCTAATTTCGGAATTTCCAGCTACGTTTTAGCTGCCTAGTTTGGCTGTTTTAGCTATTTTACATGAAATTGTCACTTTTTGGTACTTTTATGTTGTTTTTTTCCTGCTAATTGGACATTTTGTATTTTCACCATCTGAGTGCTAATTTCAATTTATGTCCGCTAACTTTATATTATATTATTAACTTTATTCATTTCATTAAAAAAACACATTTACATACAACAAAACAATACAAATCAAATAAAATGAAAGGTAGCAGAAGAAAAAAATCTTATAATATCTGCCCCTATTTGCTAAAAATATTAATTTCAAACAATAGTAATCAAATACTAAAAATTTAGCTTGTTTTATAAGATAAGATAAGATAAGATAAGATAAGATAGAACTTTATGATCCCACAATGGGGAAATTTGCACATTACAGCAACTCAAGACAAAAAGGACAACTGATATTACCAACTTTTATAAACTGTTACGGCCAGATGTCTTTCTTCTATGTTTATACTAAAGCATGGAATGACATTCCTCAAAACATAAAGTCCATTTCAAAACTAAAGCCCTTTAAGAAGAATCTTGTCTGCCATCTACTGGACACTTTTTGCTTTTTGTTGTGCTCATATTTAGACGTCCGATTTTGCAAATGCTGCCTTCCTGAAATTTGGTTTGCTTGTTTGTCTTTGTGTCTATGGTGTATAATGATGTGATTGTGATGCTGTAATTCTGAGTGTTTTATGTGCTGCAGAACAGGAACCTGCTGTAAAACAGCAATTATGCTGAGTCAGGCTTGATTTTCAGTAATCTTTTCCTGTTGAATCAATAAATCAAATCAAATCAAATCAAATCAAGACAGGGGAGCTGCAGTAACAGGCTGCCTACCGTGGCGCCATCTTTATGCTAGTTTTAGCTTTTTTTTCCTGCTTCTTTAGCTGTATTTCTGCTCTTTTCTGCAGTTTTTCTGCAAAGTTAAACTTTTTTTTTTTTGCTTCTTTCAGCTTTTGAAATTGCACTCACATTAACTATTTTACTATTAAGCAATTTCAGCTCCATTTCAGCAGCGTTCAGGTGAAGTTTTCAACAATAAACATTCACACTAGCATCTTCGCAGGAAATGCAGTTTCTCTAGTTTAATTTAAAGAGCCTGTGACATGCATTTTTTTAAATACTAAAAGACAGAAAACATTTATATTTAAGAAAGTTGGAATAATACACACGATTTAACCCATTTTGTCCCATAACTGGCAGATTTTCACTCAGCCGAAGTGAAACAGGAAGTGACATCAAAGCGGAACTCTTTAACAAAGAAAACTCTCTGGTGTTCGTTTATTGAAACAATATTATTTGATCTCTGACTCTTCTTCATCGCTCTGACAGAGACTCAAAATAATCTTAAGAAACATCAGATTCTTCTCTACAGTCTGGGCTGTTAGCTGTTGTAGCAACACCCCTTTGACATCACTTCCTGTTACTTCACAGGCAAATATCTCAACAACCGTTCATCTCAGTGACATGAAATTTCTTTTGTAATATTTTATCACTGTCCTCTTTCTAAAAATGCATTCATATGTATTACAAAAATTTGATGTCACAGGCACTTTACAACCTCAGTGAGAACAGTCCCAGTTTGGTGTTGGCAGCTGAGGTGAACCGTTGGTAGTCATCACGTTGTTTAATGTTTGGAGGTGAAATCGAGGTGAGAAATCCACATGAGAAGAAGCTGAAACTGGGCTCTGTGACGTTTGGGTCAGAAGGTGAAAAAAGAAATGTCTAGTTAATCACAGATCTGTCTTTTACTGTGACGCTGAGCACAAACACACCGCTGGATTCAAAGGTAATCAACACACACACACACAGGTACACACAGGTACACACAGGTGCACACAGGTACACACAGGTGCACACAGAACACAGGTCTCAATGCAGCCTTCTCTCCCACCAGGTCCTGTCTGTCAGCCTGGCAGGGGAGCTGAAACTGAAATCAAACGTGGCTCATGTAAATCAGGGATCCAGTTATCTCCTTTTCTGTGCCGTACTGCAGAGTTTTCAGGCTTCCTGCACCCCCTGCTGACCATCGAAGGGTGCTGCCGGGTGAGCTTCAACTGTTCTGATCTAATGTTGGTTAAGTTAATAAAATGAGGTTAAACGTTTTAACTGTCAGGGTGCAGAGCTGGAGCTGGACCAGAACTGTCCAGGGCTGCAGGAGCAGGAAGAGGATCACCATGATGAGCAGTAAGGTTAAATACCACTTCCTGTTCTGTCTCTGAGATTAAAGCTCCTGCCACATCAATTTTTCTGTAATAAACTTGAATGCATTTTTGGAAAGATAACATCAATAACATGTTGCAAAAATAATTTCACGCTGCTCAGATCAACAGATGTTGAGATATTCACTTGTGAAGAAACAGGAAGTGATGTCAAAGGGGAATGTCTACATGTAAACAGAGCGTGGCTACAACAGCCAACACAGGCTGTAGAGAAGAATCTGATGTTCTTTAGATTGATTTGATTTACTATCAGACAGAAAAGAGAGTTTAAATATTTTGTTTAGTAAATAAAGACCAGGAAGTTCCCTTTCTTAGAGTTCCTGTTGATGTCACTTCCTGTTTCACTTTGTCTGAGCCAAGTTCAAAAGAAAATCTGCCAGTTCTGACACAAAATGGTCCGAATGTTGTGTATTATACCAAGTTTCCTAAAAATAATCATGTTTTCTTTGAGTTTTTGTATTTGAAGGATAATCACATCACAGGAACTTCAAACCCCAGACTTTCAAATTAAAGCAGACTGTCAGACATTATTTTCTGTTATCCTGATGCATCTCAGTAATCCAGGTAGAAAAATCAAAAATAAATAGGTCCTCTGGACGGTTTCTTCTTTAATGAAACGTTTCGTCTCTCCTCCAAGAGACTTCTTCAGTCTGAGGAGTTTCAGGTGAACTTATAAGCTCCGCCTCCACATGGTGGACAAACAGGTTAGTCACATGCAAAAGAGGACCAGCAGCCAAACAATAGATCGTTACTGCCTTGATTGGCTCATTATTTATAGAGGGTCATGTGCCCCATTACCTGACCATTGTTGGGACCCTGATTCACACCTTTTGCTCACAGGGGGCGGAGTCATACCTGCAATAACAGCATTGTAGGAGGGGACAACTGGACACGAAGGCCAAAGGGGTGGAGACCTTTGTGTTGACTGCTCTACCTGACCTTTGAACCTCATCACAACAAGTCGTTTGACTCACTTACCAGCCACAGGAACACACTGTGAGAGACGTCACATTAAACAAATCATTTATATCCAAAGACAACAAATCAGATTTTACAGATTTATCTACAGATCAATCTTTTTCTCCTTCCCTGATGGGAGTGGGTCGCTCTACTCTCTACATGGAACTGCTGATCCTCCAAAACCAGAGGGTAACACGGTGCACAAGCTGCCTGCCAAAACCAAACACTGTGAGGTGCTCGCTGTCAGCAGCTGGCGCTGCCAGCAGCAACAGTAAAAAAAAAACATTTACATTTGCATTTTAAACCTTTATTCACTTTAGGTTTTGTATTTAAGCTGAGGCCGGTGGAAAGAGGCCGTTTATCTCCCTTCATCTGTCTTTTTTTTCTGAATCTCTGCTTTGTCATCTAAACTACAGCATATTTAAAGTCCTTCCTGTTTTCTGTTTCTTCTAACTTCTGTTAATTTAACATCTGTCATTTAATCAACATGTTTGGTTTATATAGAAATGTCTTTTTACATTTCTACATCCAACAAGTGGTTAAAGCGATCTGCGATTAGTTGTAACATTAGACTTTATTTGAAAAACATTTATTTTAACTGTAAAATAAAGACTAAAAATACTGTAGGCTGTTTAGTTTTGTAAATTTTTAAAAATATATTTAAACACGGACGGAGCCATTTTGTTTCCACACAAAGCATTCTGGGTAAATGATGACGTGGATAGGTCCTCGGTGCGAGGCTGCTAGCGAGCTATATCCACCCTGAAGGTTAATCTTGGACAATATCTGATGATCGACTCTTTTAAATGAAACCAGAGAGCGTTGACAGAGAGGAGAAGGTAGAAATGACTCAGCCTGGAACTGAAAATATGGATGGAGGACAACAGAGCTGCTTCATGGAAGAAGAACCTCAGCTTAGCCTGTTAGCTTTAGCATTAGCACCAACGTTATATTGCCTTAAATGTATTAGCTCAGCGCTAGCACGATAAACTAACAAGCTAAACTGAGACAGCCTGTGTTTCAAGCTCAGAGGGGACAGCAGCATTCGATGCTCCAGGACCTTGGTCCAACAAGCTGACCGTCTCCAGCCGGCAGTCCAAGGACCAGATCCACAGCTGGGGGGCCTCCGATCTGCATCTTAAACATGAAGAAGGACCGGAGTAAATTAAAATATAAACCTGATCAACTATTAACTCTACTTTAAACTTTATAGATTAATAAAAGGAAAATACAAAAGTTTCTGTTCAAAAACGAGTTCTATGTTTTAACTGTTTGATGAATGTTTGCTTGTTTTTGGTTTTATTGGTGGTAAAACAGCAAATCTGGTGCTATGAATTGAATGTTTTTATGTTTGTTTAATGTTTTCACACAGTTCTGATAAAAAAGAAAAAAATAGTATAGGTCTTCTGGACGGGTTCTTCTCTAATGAAACGTTTCGTCTCTCCTCCAAGAGACTTCTTCAGTCTACTCTCAGAGGACCTATACAATTTTTTTTCTTTTTGATTTTTTACCTGGATTACTGAGATGCATCAGGACAGTTCTGATAAAGTTTTTAAAACTTGCCAAATTATTTAGTACAACTATTATATAACTACAGGCTGTCATTGAAATATTAACCATTTATTTTTCATATTTTGCTTTATAAAGTAAATATTTCAACATTTATTATAAATGTTATGTGGAGTTTGTTGATATTTGAGACATTCTCATGTTAAAATCCTGCAGTTATAACACCTTCCTGTCCAGCAGGGGGCAGTCATGTCACATGGTTGGTTTCAGGTAATATTCTAATAGGGCCATTTTTATGCTTTTTTTTTTTTAACTTCACTTTTTTTGTTCATTTTGTCCAGGCTCCCAGCAGGACCGAGCCGCTGTTTGTGAGACACACAGCAGCACATTTGGAAGGAAAAAGACTCTTCCGGGCAGAAAGGGCAGATCTGGGGGAGTCTCTCATTACTAAAGGTTAGCCGTGTCACGTCACGCACGCACGCGCACATCATAGGGCTGTAATGAGCGGTGGTTCAGGAGACCCACAAACCTGTGATCCTCCCCTGTTTGGAGGAGAAGCATCTATTATTTGTGCTGCTGCAAAACATCAAAGGGAGTTTGTTTTATTTGGGAGTGAAATGTGTTAAAATATGAATTAATCACATTTATAAGGAACCAGACTTCTTATAAATAAACTTTAACTCTTCCCGTGTGTGTGTGTGTGTGTGTGTGTGTGTGTGTGTGTGTGTGTGTGTGTGTGTGTG